GAGCTACTAAAAGACTTGGAAGAAGTTAACTCGAAGAGTCGACACTGGGAAATTTGGGATTAAGAATTGACAATAGATAAATAGTTAATTGAAAAGAGCCCGAATCTCAGTTGGACACCGAAGACAAACACAGCTGTTGTGTTAAATAGATGGACCAAACAATAAGGAAGCGAACGAGGATATATAAGTGRTACAAGGTAAAAAGTTTATATCGGAGTAAATAGTCCATCAGGTCCACTACCATCACATTCTATATCTATCAACTTGACGCCTCGAATACTTTAAGCMTCATATTTCGTATCATAAGTCCTTGACACGTCCTTTTTCAATATAAGTTTTCTCCGGAAGACTTAAGGCTGATTCTTTATCGCTTGACTTCCTCTAAGTTGAGAAGTGAAGGCCTGGCTTGACCAAAAACATTTGGCAAATCCGCCATTAATGGTATAAAATCCTTCTCGGCTTCCGCTGCATGTTGTGCTTTTATCCATGAGAGAAGTTGGGCTTTTATTTTCAAGCCGGCACTCGACAAGGATGTAAGCATCGATGATGAGTTAAATCAAATTTCTTTTCAAGCTTTTTCAGTAAGYGTGTCACGAACGAAAACAAGTCTTTTCGCACGCGTAGTTTCCCTGAAAAATAGCGAATGAGCTAAAAAAATTGCTTATAGAATAGGTTAGTAAGATTAAGCACTATAAGCTTACTGCGAATCGTAAAATAAAATAAAAAATGAAGTAAGTTTACGTCGGCCTCTTTTTTTCAGGCGTAAATAATCATAGTTTGCTAGCCTCTAGCTTGAAGCAAAACAAAATTTACATCATTATAGTCGTTCAACTCAAAAATGAATTTCTCAATGTCGGTGCATTAGACGTGTGCTTCGCGATGAATGTCGAATCTTTTCCGAGCTARCAGATGCTAAACTACCAAGGCAGTAAATATTGCTTGAGAGATTTAGTCATACATGTCGGAACAAGTGAGTAATTCTTTTCGCTAACATCTCCTTTTCGATATTAGTCTTTGAGCAAGGATTTTTATATCGATGGGTCTATAAATACAAACGGATCGGTCAGAAAGTATACTTCCCGTTAATRTATGCGCGTGCCAATGACTTGAACATCGACGAAACTAAATCAAAATAGGATGTTTTTTAACAAATTAGGGGAAATAGCATTTCATTTCTATTATCCTTAGGATTCATCCGATATTTTTACGATAACTTTTTTTCTTTTTTTTTTTTCTTTTTTGTTTTTGTTTTTTGTTGTTGTTTTGTTTTGTTTTTTTATTCATCTAAATGTCGCCCCGACTCGCAAGACCTTTTAGCTGAATATTGCGTACATACTTCATACACGACTTGCCGCTCTGGAATATATCATTACCACAGTCTTTGTAGACTTGTACCGCATTTGCGATGAATTAAGGATTTGAGGCATCAGAAATTTATGATAAGACMCTCTGTAATTGTCTTGACTTGTATAGCACAATACAGCGTGATACCATCTTTCTATAATTTTATTGTCGCGTTGGGGATTGACAACGCTCCRTCAATATCGGGTTAAGCCGTGTAGATTTGTGGCTTATTAGCAAATAACTATTAAAATAAAATGACAGCGGTGAGATAGAAAAACTCGGTGAACAGGTGCAATTGGGTACTGAGTACTTAGATTGAACAGTGGTGATAATGAATAGTATATATATGCGGACAATTTCGGTGGTCCTAGTTGGCAAATCATCTTTACATTGTGGCTTCCATGCATCGTGGTCATACTAAGATCCGCCTGGAAAAACTAAATGCACGGACGAGACAAAAGTCCGTCCAATACACTGAGCACCTATAATATATCGGATCGTCATGGTCTTGATGTTATTCCCTTAGATGCTCTGTTTGACTCCATTCAGACAAGCCAAGCAGTAAGACCTGAGTTTCAAGAAGTCAGTTTTCTCGTACGTGTGTGGGCAAAAAATGTCTCAATTGCATCCAGCATTAGTTATGATTGGCAAGATATCCGTTAAATAATGGTTTTGATATTAACTAAGTGCCTTTCGATTCGTTCAATAATAATGTTACCTTCAAGTCAGTGATAGGTGTYTTAAAAGCCTTTTCTTGATTGCGATGGTGTCGTATGACAGACAACAAGCATGGAACTCCTCACGAACATTCGCGGACTCTAATAGATGTTTACCGCTCGGTTTTGCATGGCCTCAGGCGAGGTTCGCGTTATGCTATCCTGCACATAGACGTAAAGTTATAAATATCAATTTATGAAGTAATGTATTTTTTTCAGTGTCAATAATGTAATAGGTTTAGCAGATATGAAGTTTGGTAATATAAAACTTTTCAATCAGTGGTGGCTTCTCTTCTCTTCTCTTCTCTTCTCTTCTCTTCCGTTTGGGTTTCTTCTTTCCTTTGGCTTCACCTTACTCGTTTTGCCCTCTCTTGTCTTCGTCTTTTGTCTCGTTTTCTCTTTCAGTTTCTTCTTTTACCTTACTTTTTATTCGCCTTGCTTGTCTTCTTTTCTTTTCTTTTCTCATCTCATCTCTTCTCTTCCTTCCTCCTTTCCAACTTCCGTGACACGGCAATTGCTTCCTCCAAGACTATTTCCATTCTTGTCCGCATTGTTTTTGGGGCCGAGTACGTGGTYTTGCCGTCGTTGTTGAATTGGTCGGTGAATTCCCTTTAGTTCTTTTTTATAGTATTTCTTTCATGTTGTTATTTTGTTTGGGTTTACATGTTTCAATATTTTCACTTGTTTCCTTACCTTATTTACTTTTTTCTTCAGACATCTGTTTGCTATAATTTTTTGGTATCTTTTCTTCCTATCCTTTGTTCAATTTTCCTTTCGCATTCAATATTGACACTGGAAGCTTAAGAGAGAGGTTTTCATTGCTACTACTGTTCAAAATGCACACAACTTTTCAAATATGACCAGATTGCGTATAGAACAGTCAGACTTGAAAGCATCCATCAACTCTCATCACGCCTTCTAATCCTAGTGACGTAGTCATGACGTAGCAAAGGCTAAAATTAGGGCCCATCTGAAGAGGTAGGTAGGTACAAATGGAAGACTGAGAACAGAGCATTGGTTTTAAGTTTATCAGATGATCACAGGTCAGGTACTCACTCTAACTGGATCGGACATTAAGCAACGTTATCAGGACTGACACATGCTTACACCAAAAATGCCAGCGAAATCACCAGAAAGATCCTTTAACGTAATAACATTCATTAAAACTGCTACTTAGAATTCCCCAAAAGCTGTTAGTGATGCAGGAACCATATTTTCGAGCAAAAGTTGATTCTATCATTTCTGTGGCTATGGCTTTGAAGAAAAATATTTCTAAAGGCAGCTTGAGTTCCGTGAGGTCAACCAGCCCCGTCCTTAAGCAAGAATAGCACTTGAATGATTTTAATTAAGAACGGATTAATTACAAGTGCTGGTGATTTTACGCCACATATACCATGCCGCTATTGCAGAAAACCTGCTTCGAGGTCTGCTTAAAGTCCAAAAATATTTGCAATTAAAAAATTCCTTCCAGTTTTGAGTTGCGATGTGATTAACGCACTAGTGAGAACAGGTGGCGGTCATCGTTCAGTAGAACTCTCAGTTCACTAGTTTTAAATACATAACGTTCTGTGAGACGTTTCTAATATTTCCATTTGCGCTAATTTCATTAAAACAAACTACACAGACCTTTCAATTTCGTATCATGGTGCGTCTGCTTCAAAATGACATATTCAAATATATTCAAACCACTTTTAAAAACTATTAAAGAATTATTCAGTCGGTTTTTTTTTTTTAGATTTTTCGGCCCCACCATCGCAGAGAATTGTCCGCAGCACTATGTCCTGACTTGATCAGTATTATACTTATTGGCCCAAATAAAGCTTCAATTGTGCCATCTAAACATCTGAACCTTTATCGTGCTAACGCTCAAAGATAACATCTCAAAACTACTCTCCTAAAAAATGATTAAATCTCGGCTGCAATTTAATTCCATTCCATTTTTATGGGACGGATGACGAAACGTCATATGTTGACTTGGATTCTAACTCTTTTTACCAATATTACTACCAATATATTTTTGCTCGGAAGTCTCGAGCTCTCTCTCTCTTTGTTCGTCTTTCTATATATTTATATATACTAGCATTGATAGGTCCAATCTGTAAGGTTCGTATCAGCAAAGTGCTTGAGTTTAGCTTGGTCGGGTTTTCCGTGTCTTATCTCARAACATTACGCATTAGTATAAATACATATATCAGCTTGCTATRAATGTATATCAAATAGTACGATCTATTGGAAAAAACATTAAATATGCCATACGGCTATTCGAAGGGCAATAATCAAACAAATATAGCCTTTAGCTATATCAAGAAAACGTTGTTTGATAACTGCACTCAGACATTTATAATGAAATTAGGACAGCGTTTTGCTTCTTCAATCCTCTCGCCTCGCATGTAGTTGACTCTTTCAAGTTGTTTTTCTTTTTTCAATTATCAATCCCGCCAAAAATTCCGAAAAATTTCTAAAGATAAAACTATTATAAATGGACCATTTTTGAATCTCAATGGAGTTAATTTTGAGAATGAGTAGTGAAGATTTTCATGTTAGTTTTGAGTCAATGTTTGGGTAGCCCAAAGCATCCTAATTTCTAAGAAAATCCGTATCACGCATTTCTGGGGAAACTTTTATCTTCTTGATTCTATAGCGGATGTTTTAAAAGCTGGTATCTCGAAACAGTGACAACGCTGATTGCTTTAGATCTGTCCCCAAATACAGCTGAAATACTTCGTTAATTAATTGAGCGCGCGCGGCTTATATGGTTTGAGCTTGCGAGCGGYCCTCGAACAAAACACATATTTCCACCTCTCCTTTGCTCAAGTCTTTTTAAAATCCTAAGTGTAGCGTATTAAAGGGGATTTCAGATATTTTCAAGACCCTAATTCTCCTTAATTTTTTCCCCAGTGATGTTGGACCCTTGTTATAAGCCCCAGTAGAGCGGTCTGAAAAACAAAAGGGGCGGGTTCGCCTGTCAATCAAGCTTGTAATACTCCGCTGATATTGGCAACAGAGGCTCAAAAACTTGACTCGCGCATTTATGTCCCATAGTCGTGTAAGAAAAGTTTGATCATTAAAGCTACTGATAATCTAGGGACGCTAGAATGACTTGAAACGATGAAAATGAAAGATGATGAGGCTAAGAGAGCGGCTACGAGCGACGAAGATAGAATGACCAAACAGAATGGAGAAGTTATGCCAGTATGTAACATGGAGGATCAGACTTCACTTTCACACGCGGCAGTCAACTCGAATGGCAAAAGCCGCTCAAAACCATCTCGAAAACGCCACAGTACAAGCTCACCCGAAGAAGATATAATTGATGGTTTTGCTATTTCATCTTTCTCGTCGCTGGAGGCTTTGGAGGTAAGGCGAAATGTTATTCTTTGCGGCGTTCTTTTATTGAACTGTTAACAGTAATAGCCCGTTCAACTGCATGGACTCCTCGCGTAAACATTGCCAAATAACTCAACCATTCCGTTAWTTTTGCTCCCTAGTTTTTCTACATATGGTAAAGAAAGCTTGTACATAGTAARCCTACTGTTGTCTTTCTCAAAATTCTGTGTATTTAGCTATTTCTTTGGCCTTATTGTGTACTAAAGGCGGCTAGAAGTGAGCCCTGTACAATGTTTACTTTTGTTAAATAATTTCTATCAAAGTTCGACATGAAGAGCTCTCATCACGACACTGGTTAAAGCATAGCTCTATCCTCTACAATGAATATTCACCAACCTAAAGGTTTCAGAATGGTGAATTATATTCAAAGGAGTCTTTATTGTGTTCGGTTTGCCAATATTTCAAGTATGTAGCGGGGTTGATAGATGGTCGGGCATATTGAATGGAAATTATCTTCGAGATGATCACCTTAGTCTCCTTACATTAACTCTTGTTCGTATGTTTTTATTTTTTGGTCGTTCCCAAGACTGATAGCACAGCTTCATGGCTAAACATTCGTGGTATCGACCACAACTGAGCCATAAAATTGGTGCTAAGCACTGTGATAGCGTTTATTCTTGACCACTGTCCAATCTCGTAGCAGGACAATTAGGGATCAAAAATGTGCTACGACGACTCGCTCGAGAGTTGGKCTTTCTATTTCCTTCCGTACATAGTAAACTTCAACCTCAAGTCCTTTGAAGCAGGAATCTATCAAAAAAGCCACCTTTAAAAATATTCAATGTTTTTGTTTTGACCTCATTTTAAAGGACTTTTACGAATTATTCCTAAACAAGCAAACAGTGTTTGTCGACTCAAAGGCTTATTTACGCCAGGACATGAAAAGTTCATTTTCTCTCTCCAAAATTTGACGGCGAATACTTCGAGCTCTCATCATCAACTACCACCATTTGAAAGCTGTTTCTGGTAGTTTTGATGAGTTCTACATCCTATTCTTAAATGTGTTTTATTTTAAAATAAGAATCTATAAATTTGAAGATAAAATTTGGAGGTGATTGGATTAAGCGATGGGTTCTTAAGCCGAGATCAACTCGCAAAAAGTCACATATATGAATTATACTAGTCCTTCAACCTTTTAGCTATTCCTTCAAGATACATTATTTCTTCAAGCCATTACAATATCAAGCCCATTTTATTCTTAAGACTTTCTTCTTAATTTTAGGATCTTCTACAACTCCCCATTGATGGAGTATTATTTTTACAAGCCCCTAGAGATTTTATGTATAGTATTGGTGTTACTTTATTTGAATCTAGTCCAAATTTGTTGGAATCTTTATTAAATTTCTCTGCCGAAAAAAAGAACCCATTCCAAAGTTAACATATCTAAGCAGGACAAAGTTAGTGATAATGTTACAATCTTAGATTTTTTAATTTTTTTATATATTTTTTTATTATCCCATTATTTAACTAGTCAGAATAACAGTCAAACTGCTTGATTGTCTTTTGGTCTTCATGAGGAAATCCATTCTTGACTGCCGAAATCATGCTTTAGCCAAGTTGCTTTAGCAGAATTAAAGCTGAATTTTTTTCCAGAACTATACTGTGTCCAGTGCAGTTTTCCCATTACCTTTTTTACCAGATCRAGCTCTTTGGTTTCTGTGGCAATATCTTACCATAGGAAGAATCTAGGAAAGCCGTTGGCAAACATCATACAATCTTTAGTGATCCATTGTCTGATTCACTAGATTTTCAAGATGTCCTTTATCCTTCTTCAATTGAAGGATGGATACTCCTATAGATTATTATCAGTATGGCTGTGATGTCATCTCTACAAACCTGATTATCTTGTACTTTATACCATCAGACTATAATGCAGAATTCATAGAATACAAGCCATTACCAAAACTTGCGCTTACTTAAACAAAAAGTGCATAATTTATTGATGTACTTGAAAAAGTTCTCTTGTAAAATTAACTAGTTCTTTGATCACTATGGAATTTTGATTATTGACATTTAAAGACCCTATTGGCAAAGCAAGACCCCATTTCTTGATTGATTTTTTTTGATTGTTTTCTTAACAATACATTCATATAATATTGATAGAAACTACAAGTTACAAGCAAAGAGTATACATTTACTTAATTGTCCTCCATAGAGCTGCAAAAATCAACTTTTAAATTCCCATTGGAATGACAGTGGATGAATAGCTACTCTGTAGAAATGCCACTGTTAAATCCCTTTTATTTTTTATTTTATTTTATTTATTTCAAATTTGTTTAACATAATAGCTCCAAAGTTCAAGAATTTTCTGCATTATATTGCACAAACTAAGTTATTATTCCAATGAGGAGTGTTGCAAATCTGCTACTTTAATTACTTTTATTATCAGACCAACTTTTCGACTAAGTCTTGGTTTATTAAATTTATTTTTCAGTCCAGAGCTCCGAATAAAACTGGCATCCTAAATGAAATAAAACCACAAAGTAAAATCTCCAAATGCAGCCAAGAAAATGGGATCAGCAATAAGAAGAGAAGGGCTGAGAAAAGGCGGCAAAGGGTAAGTATTAAGTAGAGTATGTAGTTCCAGGGACCACCGAGCATAGTTTCGAGTGTAGGGCCTAATCTGATGGGGTTGGTAGAGTGTCTTCACCCCCCTGAAAATTTTGAAATGGAGGTACTCCATAATGGGATTTACAGTACCATGGTCTTAAGATGCAATAATTGCAACAAATTCATTGAATTAAAGTCATGTCAAAGTTAAGGCAACTCATAACAGACAATAAATTTTTGGCTAAAAATGTGGGGATGGAGGGGGGGGGGGCTAATTCACCCCAAGCCCCACCCATGCTGTGGTCCCTGAGTTCATACACTGTAATATTGTTATGATCAATATAGATACTAACTCCCATAAGAGCTAATACTGGGAACCTAACTGTGTTGAACAGCTGCAAGTAATCACCGAAGATCCTATAAAACCTTCTTATTAGACAATAAAAGAATCTCTCTAAATTAGGGCTGTTACCTTTGAAAACATCTTGACAATAAGATTATTTAAATAGCTTAATATGAACTAGAACTAAAATTGGTAGTGCAATCTAATTTCTTTTGATCAATACTAGTGGCTTTATTGATTTTATAAATAATTGTTCAACCAAAAACGATTATTTTCTTTTTTTAAAGAACAACTTCATGAACAAAAATAATTATGAGATATCATTGTTTTGTGTGTGTGTATGCATGTATGCACAACCCTAGTTTGTTATCTCCTTTTTCATGATTGACACATGATAGGCTAAAAGGTCGTTCAGTTATTCATTCTCATCATCATTGTTTACCTTCTTCAGAGAGTTTAATTTTAAAGTTGTCAGAGCTAAGTTATTTCATTTGTCTTTACTTGACAGTACAGGATATTATTTACATTTTGTCACACATCATATGGTCTCCAAATGAGAAATATCACCCACAGACAGGTGCAACTCTTTCTGTAACACTTCCTTTTTAACATCCATTGTTCTTCCTAAGTACTTGAAAACAGTTTTGATCCTAATTTTTTTTACAACTCTAATTCTTTGATGAGGTAGTTTTTCTATATTTGTTTCTATGACCCTACATTGACACTGTTGTGTCTACCCACTTCTAAACCTCTTATATTACTGTCCTTTTTTACCTTTTATTCTTATCATCCTACACATATTTGAGAGAAAAATATATTTGACATAAAAAAGAATAGACTTCCTTCACTTGATTTTAGTTTCCAAAACTTCTAAAAATACATGTAATCTGAATTTATTGAAAAGTTGTCAATATTTTCTTTGTATTCAGTGTCCATAATTTCATGTTGTACAAGTATCATTGAAAGTTGATTTTGTAGATAAATGGATCTATTGAAAAATTCAGTTAGCAAAAACAAATAAATAAAATCTCGATTATCTAAAATAAACAAAAACAAGCCTAATGAAAAACGATATCATTAAGATATCATTAACTACTTTACAATTAGAGCTTATTTTTGCTTGCTTGATTAACAGATTTCTGATGTCTTTCAATTATTTTTCATTTAATATATAATATATAAAAGATTTCAAAAATACTTCAGAGTTATTTTCTGAATTAAATTTTGTATTCTTAGTTCTAATTGACGGGTTGCAAGCATTCCCAMGAGAGGCAAAAGACAAAAACATTACAGCCATTGTGGTGCYGTTAACAATAGATGCTAATGAGAAATCTTTCGTTAAATGGCACCAACATGGCCGTGATGACATAACGTGCAATCAAAGAATGCTGCATGAGATTGTTAATGATGTTTGTTCCATTTTGATAATTAAAATAACTGCATGTTTTACATATTGGTTGTAATTTTAAGCTTATCGTAACTTGCATTGTTTATTTATTAAATGGCGTCAAAGTGGCTGACAACCACAAGTCAACCTGTAGGCCGTCAATCATATACTGTACCAGACATAATATTTACAGGTATATACCTATAAATTTATTTAACCTTACATTGTAGACATTTAAAAAAATTATAAATATAATGAAATCATCTAAATATGTATTTAGTATAACTAGTTATAAATTATACRTTCGGTGTGTATAATGAAACAGAGAGAATAAGAGGAAAATATCAAATGCCCTTAGCAGGAATCGATTCCCCTAAGGGCATTTGATTTTTTTCTCCTATTCTCTCTAATATGTATTTAGTAGAATGAAATTTCATATAATATATACTATAATCTTTATAAATTTTAATGGYATAATTTTAGAAGCATATCAGTAATGCACAAACATTGTGTAAATAAAATGAATATCAATATATTGGGTGCATTCTGGGCAATTTTCAACTCAAATTTTGGTAAACTATGATCATAGTGTACAGTGTGAACATTAATATTAGATATTCAACTGACTTGTGGTTGAAAACTGCTGTCTTCCAAAAATTTGGAAATATGCCAATTAGTTTAGATATGGATATATATTGATATATTTGAGTTTTGCAGATTTTTTGCAAACCATTGTAAGTTTAATAGATTTATATATATTGTATATATCAATGATGGATTGTTTCATGAAGTATTGCTTGCATTGTGAATATGGTGATATTATTAGCTGTACATCAACAAGTACACCCTAATATGTGTAAAGCTCATATCTGTCTTATCCTTTATCAGTTCAAGTGTTATATAGGGATTAAATCCTCATTCTTAATGGACTTAAAGCCTCCATACAAATCTTATTTTCCTATTCCTATGATCCAAAATAACTTCACCCTAAATACATATACTTAGTCAATTCTGTACTCAGAATCTATAGACCCATGCATGTTTGATTGATATGTTTAATTGGTCTCTCAGGAAATGATCTTATTCTTTCTTTCTGTACAGAAAAACTATTGACACTGAAACTTGATACCTATGTCAGTTCTAGTTATGATAACCACATTTATAGCACAGTTTTGATGATGGAGATTAACCTTTGCACAGTCAAAACATGCTCCTAAAGGGTACTGTTTCACATTGAACTTACCATATAATCTAATAAAGGGAAAAAACATAAATAATATAACAATATAGTTACATATGGAGTTTCATCCTCATACTGAGGGTTAAATTAACATTGGACAGTTTACCAGATGATAATCTATTTTTCGTAAGACTAATGAGATTTTTCATGCTATATGATTACTAAGTTTTAATGAATAAATTTGTATGAGAGAGCTTTAAATCTCCCTAATGCTTTTGACAAAATTCTTAACCTAGTATAAGAAAGCAAGGGTAGTTTTTTTTAGATCTTATTTACATTTTTTATGCTGTTTAATATAGATAGCATCTGCTCCCAATACCTAACTGTTTTGCAGCTGCTGTAATACTTTAATTATATATCATGAAATCTTATCTCAAGAGTAATTTGTTCAAATGTTACTATAGCAAGACCAAGACGTTATTTTGAACTATATGATAATGTTTCCAATATATCTTAYGTATGGTCCTTCTTTGTGGTGTTTTGAAGTGTCGTTAGCCTCAGGAAAAGTATATATTAGTTAGTGTGATGGCAGAGGAGGGAACATACTCATCTGATATTAGATTCTGACCACCTGCATTCCCATATCGTAAACATTTTTTGAAAATCTGGCTCACAGACAAACTCATCACACAAAACGAGACCTTATTAAGTTTTTATAGTTTATAATTATAGTATAAGTATTAAGGAGGCTTCCTGAGCTAAGAAGTCATCTGCTACTGTGTCTAAGATATGTCATTTAAAGCTAATATAAGAAGGTGTGGCATAAGACTTTGATTGATCCTTAATGTTGTTAATTGTCGAAATCCTTCCTCTGTGAATTGAATGATCATTTTTTYCTGACGCATGCTATTATCTGGATGCCAGATAATGGGAGTGTAGGTCAAGGAATTTGTTATTCAGTTGAACTTGTAGTGAGGTTGGTACCCAATATTACAGCCATTTAATTTGTAGATCAGAGGAAACTAGATCACAACTCCATGGTGAAGGATAGAAATATTATGCCCCTTTCTTCTACCCTACCTGCTAACATACACTATTCTATCAAGGTCAGATTTTGCAAGTATTAACTATAATACACTAGTTTCACGTTAAAACTTAATACCAATGAGTGTAACCTAGTGGCAGACTATGAGTTGTGTTTGAGATAATACTTTTACGCACTAAAAAACTGGGAGAACTGACTATATGTTGGAGGCTAAACATATCCCACCATTCTGTGTTCAATGCATATTGCTTTTTTTAAAGAGCACAGACTCACTTGTATGGGTTTTGCCTTTTTTTATAAGTAAACTATTTACAGATACTTACTATTAAGAGTCTGTGGGATTTCAAAACATTGATATCATTTAACTTACAGATTCTTTACATTATCGTTGACTTTTRCAAATGATTTGCTCAAAACAAGGCCTAAATCTTTACAACCACTGAAACACAGCAGTATTTACAGTACCTACATAATGAGAAAAGGGACAATTGGTATCTTTTACACCAAAATCAAAATTATGTATCCATGCATAACTCAACTAAAGCGATCAATTTAAAGGATACTGCTTGACTCGAAGAATCTAACCAAAATATTCAATAGAACTTCTTTCTTGCTGTGTACTCATTTCATTTTACAACTCTATAATTTAAGGAGCATAAGTCAAAGTCACYCTAGTCTCTAAGGGAAATTTTTGAATTCTGATGATAAAATAGTAGACAAAAAAATGTAAATATTTGTATAAAATTAATGCTATCTGGGAAATAAAATATAAAAAAACTTGAACCTTTAAAAAACCTGGATGACAAATTAAGTTTAACTAAAAATTGAAAGTTTTCTATTTGATATTATATTTTCAGATGCAAGACCCCAAACTCAAAGACTCTGATTCTGAAGAGGAAAATGAGGAACCTCAAAAATCAGAGGGGTCTCGCAGCTCAGCTCACAAGGAGAAGAAATCAGCACATACTAGTGGGGTAGGTCATGTAACATACATTTTAATCACATGGGTCATCTCTCATTGACTCAGGAAAAATCCCATTACATTAATCTAACTATTAGTGGAATTCTTCAAAACCTTGCTTTGAGAGGAAGACATGGAGGGGGGGGGGGGGTAGGTGTTAAAAACCACAAACACATGGGAAAAATGGAAAACAAAGAGATGTTATCTGAAAAACTGCTTGAAAATTGTGGGGGGGGGGGGGGGGGGGTAGGTGTTAAAAACCACAAACACATGGGAAAAATGGAAAACAAAGAGATGTTATCTGAAAAACTGCTTGAAAATTGTTAGTATGCAAACCTAGAAATTTCTGCCTCACTCTCTACTTCGGTTATACCAAGATGAGAAGGTTTCATTTTACCTAAAGCTGCTGTTGAGTACAAAGGGATCACTGAAGTTGTTTCGGGCTTAAATAAAATTCAGTTTTGTTTAAAGCAATCTTAGATTGTTAAATAGTGCAGGGCATTTTAAATTTGTTTGAAGGCAGGGGTTGATCTAAAGGTTTTTTAGAGGCTACACTCAGTTAGAACTTGATGGCTAGACATTCCAAATAAAAGAAAGRAATTACTATTCTTTCATAAATTTGTTTATTTCTTTCTTTTTATCCCTTTGTTTTCTTAGTTTGCTCTTTTAATCTTAAAATCCTGTTTATAAAGTTTAAATCTGAATGGTAGGCTTTCTAGAACACAGAAGAAAAGAATAGCCCTTTCGTTCATCCATCCATCCATCTATTCATTCATCCATCCCATCCCATCCCATCCATCCCATCCCATCCCATCCATCCATCCATCATTCAGTTCATCACTTATTTACTCATTCATTTTTGACTCCCATTTTCCCCCTCATACTACAACATCCCACAATCACAAATCTAAATACTGCTAAACATGCACACCTATATTTTATGACAATGGATTTATTTTGCATAAAGGATTAGGCCTCAGGGTTGAGATAAGACTAACTGCATTATATGATTCCTTCATTTCTCTTATCCAATTTCTTATCATCAATRTTAATGATAATCTTTGCTCTTGGGACCTTCTTGATCAAGTTTGATGTTAAGTCTATACTTACCATTCATTGGAACCTCAGTGATTGCACTTATTGTATGACAGAAATTAATGTACCAGCCTTTAACTAGAGTATTCTGTAGTTGAGCTATGGCATTAATGTCTTAGGTTACAGGAAAGAATTAAGGAATCATATTGCTCTTCTATCTCAATCTGTTTCATTAGCCTCAGGGAATTTGTCTCTCTATCAAACAGAATAGCTACTCTAGGTTTATGTTACTGTTGTTGTTGTTGCTGTTGCTTTTCTAATGTTGTTGCTGTTATTGTTATTATTGTTGTTGTTGTTGTTGTTGTTGCTACCCTTGTCGTTAATGTTGATGCTGTTATTGTAGTTTTTGCTGTGTTAAAATTATGCCAATGTTGTTTTCACTGCTGTTTTGGCTTTTTTGATGTTGCTATCGTACGTTATTGTTAAATTGTTTTATTGTTGTTGTTGCCATTGCTGCTTCTTAATAGTTGTCATTATTTGATATTCAAGTTAAGGCAATTATACTAATATCAAAAAAAACATTGCATGCCTGAATTAAAATTCATGTTTCAAATTCCAATTTTTAAATGGTTTTGAGGTCAATGAATTTGTATCATCRACTCCCATTGCTCACAGGTCACCAGTATTTCTATCCTAATAAGTTCTATCTTTGTTTTTATCCATGTTAGTAATGTTAGTAGTGTAAGTAATGTATAGTACCCTTGAGTACTTAATAAAATACTTCAAGTATTCCATCAATCATGTCCAAGCACCTCACCCGTGCAGAATCTCAGGGAGTGGTGATCATATTTCTCTTGAACCAGCTAAAGTAGAACCACTTGAAACCCCAAGTGTGAGGCTTGGCAGCCATTAGAGCCTTCAAGCCTCTTCTAGTTTGAATGACTTATCCCACTTACAGTACATGAGCGATTCTGTAGAAAGCACTTATATAAAGAGTTAAGTGATGTCCTTTTGTTCGAATGTCAGTCTTTTAAGTGCCTAATGCATGGCAGTTCAGGAAATATTGGCTGTAAATTAATGAGACTTGACGCCTTTGACTTGCTTTTCATTTCATTTACCAAATCAGATAGTTTTATTTCACCCATTTTGGTGTGGTTTCTGGAATCTTATGATCTTGCATTAAATTATGAAGTTTTAGAAAAACTTTCAATACCAAGTTGTTGTTATTTTAGAAATTGTAAGTTAGAAACCTAGGTTTGTGTGATATGTTCAAGTAAGGTCATCTACATTTACATCTGATCTGTTCGTTAATAATTATTCTTTTCTCTCTTTTCTTTTCTCTTTTTGTTCTGTTTTTGTGTGTTTTCTTGTTTATATTTTTGTAAATAAATAATTGAAGAACTCTGTAACAATTTTTTACTGTTACATTGAAATCTAAAGCATACAAGCATATTTTCATTTATTCAACCATCAAAATAAATTTTCTTCCTCAAGAAAAAATGTTTAATTGTTCATCTCRTCAAAAAAGATTAATTTTGCTCTTTGAAATATTTTGAACAATATATTTTTCTTGCTTCATATATATTTAATTCTGTTTCAATATGAATCTCTTGTAATTTTAAATAAACTACCTAACCCTGGCTTAATTCTTTTAAAGAGACATTTACTATCTGTACAATGCCTCTTAGAAAATAAGCCAGAGTCAACTAATGTAAAATTATCATGCATCAAAAGCTTTCATATTTTCAACAAATCTCTTCTAATTCTCAGAAATACTGAAATTCTACAAAAAATATTTTTATCTTTCACTTCTGTTCTATTTTATACTGAAATTCTTTTCACTTTTTCTTGTTTCCCCTGAAAATTGAACCTTTAGTTCTGATGCTAATGGTAGAACGTGATAAAAACCATACTTTTCTTGATCCATTGTGAGGAATATATTTTGTATTTTGCCTCAAGCCAAATAAACCGATCCTGACTTTGCTTAAGTGACCACCAAACAATGATTTAGTTTTCCTAATGGAATATAGAATGTCCAACAAACAAACTCAAATTCAAAAGGTTTTCTAGTAGTTATCATTTCTTTTCTTAGAGTGGATTTCAAAACCCCATGAAACAAAGTGTAATAACTAAGGTGTAATAAATTGTAACACACCAAAAACACAAAAGAAAATCAAAAGAAAATGCGGACAATAAAGTGTATTAAGTGTTATACGCTAAAGTGTATTTCACGGGTTTTTGAAAACCGCTCTATTGTACCTTCAGAATGCATTGATTCTGAGGTAGACATTTACAATTTTCAGCAATCGGTGTTTGTTCCATGCTGTATATCAATAAACACATCTTAGCCTGTTTCATGTAGCAAAAGTAACTAGAAAAGTAGATCAATGAATGCGGGATCAGTGCATTAAAGGACTAGGACTTCCGAAAGTGACCYGTAGCTGTGTAAACACACCTATGTCTTGGCTAACACAGCTTGATAATGATAATAATACAAGCTTGATTTGTCCTCATTGAAGAAATACCTATAAGTGATCATTTAAAGCTGGTACCATTTCCTGTGTTAGAACAAAAACTATTGATAACTGCCCTTGATATGTAATGAAAATGAATCGTAAATCAGGAAGGGAGGTACTCAGGATTAGCCTTACATTTGACCTTACGTTTCAAGCTTTGGAAACCCTGTCAGAAATCTGTGATTTTTTCTCTCTCTGGAATTATTCTGACTTAATGGGGTCATTAGATGGTACCCTGTCATAGATCCGTGTAGAACCTTTCTAACATCAATTTTTTCTCTCTCTTTAGAATAATTCTGATTCAGGGGGGTCAGTAGATGGTGGATACCTGGTAAGAATAAATTTTTATTTTTCCTAAAGAATATTTACATCAAGTATATTTCTGCTAATAAACAGACTATTTTGGAATTAGTCAAGTAGCGCTGTGTTGCTTGAACCCACACCCGTATATACAGGGTTACCCTCATTTCAGTGTGCAAATATTCACAAATACCAACAGCAAAGTGAAGAGTGCACAACTTCAACAATACAAAAACTTTGAAATTCCATGGACCTTCACTGGAATGCATGAATATTCAAAATAATTTTGCATACAAAATCGAGGCTAACCCAAACAACAGAGAATTTGTAACTGGAGTATTATTTAATTAAGTGATAGGAGAGTATAGGTTATATTTAGGCTGGGGGGTTAACATCCTTTCAAAAGATGACAGTATATTAGTCTTCTGTCTTTATATATAAGTTTTTATCATCTTTGGTGTGATGTTTTCCCATTTCAGACCACATGTCATTCTCTTGAAAATAAGATTCTTAGTTGGAGTTTTATCCATATTCATGTGTCTTCTCGTGTGCAATGGTTAAACAAAGAAATGATACTCTAGGGAATGACATATGGTCTGAAATGGGGGTGGGGATATTCCCAAATTAAAAAGGTCTGAAATATCATGAGGTTTCATGTCCTCTCTTTAATCCCTTTGCCCTGAGATGTTAGAACAAATCATGTCATGGTAATCAAACCTGGATTGACAGCAGGACCTAAAATAATGGCTAGTTATTTGACAATGTCTGACTAGAATTGGAACTTGTCTGGTCAAATCTTGGTCTTGCTGGTCATTTGACCAGTAACCTTGAGCCAGAAACTAATTTGGCTGGTCATCACGATCTTGAGTACAATTCAGAATTTGCCTAAAGGCTCATCCAATTTTGAAAACATTCAAAACATCACTCATACCTATAAATCCCAAATTGTACGCAAGATCGTGGGATTTCCTATACAAAATGTATTGTTTGTTTGTTTGCAGTGTGATGGGGAAAGTGAAGATGAGAGGGTAAGTCTTACCAATATTACACCTCRGCATGTAAATAAACTATATATATTTATATATCATATCCTCTGCTCAATTAACTACGATATATAGAGGCTTTGCAGCATCAYATGATGGCAGCCATGACAGGAGGCAGGAACAATTGAATCTGGTCTAATCTGATTTACATGAGAAAGAATTCAGTTTTCCAGGGGGAAAAGACCCAATTGTTATTCCACCTGTCATGGCTGCCATCATGTGATAGTGCAAAGCCTCTATRCCTATTTCTAAAAAGGTTGCCCAAACCAAAGGCAATAAGAGATAGGAGATAGGACATCGTAGGCAGGACACATTGCCTCACTAATCAAAACTTGCCATAGCTATTGCACCTTAATGTGTTTTGTTACCTTATTGATATTGTATATATATAGCACATATAACACTCATAAATAACGCTGGTGGATAGTGGGCCTTAATGGCCAATGCTAGTCCTCATCTCTACATTTCCATGAAGGTAGGGTGACTTTGCTGCAAGGGGAAAATCTTTTTTTCTAGTGAACATCAAAAAAAGAAGAGTCAACCTTAGTAGTGTATCACCCTACCTCTATGTAAACGAAGCCTTGATAGAGTTCCGACATGCAAATGAAGAAGGTTTTCATTATTCCATTCCATAACTCCTCACAAAGTATGTTTGACTTTTGATAGAAAGCCTCTTACTGAAGATGTTCATGAAATATGTCCTATAAAATCAGCCCCACAATGCACTGCGTTTCCAACTCGACCCAGTCTTTTCCTCAACCTCAGAATACCTAATGAATCCAAGATGTTGAGTTTATGCAGTTTAGTCGTAAAGTGAGCACTCTCGCACACTAGGATAGATCGCCGGATCGCCGACCAAAACACGAGGAGACAAAGAAACCCCACTTTTCTTATCATAATGRTTTCCTAGCTGCTATAGCGATTAACTTCCCAGTCATTAAGATAAAAAGATAAAAACAAGATCAAACAATGATTATTCTTTTCATTCTCTGTCACGACATTTAATTCGTGTTCCAAGTTGCCTCGAAAACGAAATCCTCACCGTCTGAAATTCCGTCTGGCATCAGAAGCGCGGATCAATAACTTTTGTCGTATTTGATGGCGACGTGCTGGTTCGATCGGATCCACACTCTTATTTATTTCCAGAACATGATCTCACTTGTACATTCCCTCTTAAAAACGGGTCTTCCAAGTAACATCCTTTGAACCACTTGGAACTCTAAAGTGGATCTCAAACAGGCGATAAAACTTTTGTTAGATCCCAAATCACCTTGTCTAGTATTTCACCTGGTTTTATCCATCGTCCACTTGTCTTGCCATTCACTCGTATTGTTTTACCACTTGGAGAAAACACCTTTGACGCGTCGCAGATCATCTTTGAAGGCAACACAAGAGGGTCCATTTGGCTTGAGTACCCTTCCACTTCACCGACACTCCATGCTATTAACTTTGTACATAGGATGAAGCACTTTTGAAGGCAACACTCGAAGCTGTTCAAAGAAATTTATAGKTCTTATCGATGAAGAAATAGCTCGCTATAAAAGATAAAGCGCACGGATTGAAGCTTTTTGTTTGGCTCTTCATTAGTGATTACTATCTGTGTTCATGTGAATTGGTCTCAAAATGGCGTGAGATTATAACAAAGTGTAGGATCCCACACGKCAGCGATGAATAGATCAGATTTAGTATGACTCATTGTTAGAAAACAAATTTACGATGGTTTCGCGTGGTATGTGGGATAGCTAGAAACAACGGTTTTGGTCATCGCATCGTCGTCATAATMGCTGAACACTTTCATTCGAGTTCTCGCTCTGCTCTCGTGAATCCATCTTGTGGACTTTATGACGTACGCGTGGTCTTTAAGRCGTCACATCACGCAAAACCATGGTAAAATTATTATCTCAAAACCCGCTCTTGCTAATGGAATTTTTTAGCTAACAAGCTTTTAAGGGATGGTTGTTTCAGRCGCTGTGTGGGGAAGGGGTAAATATGCACCCCTACTCTCTGGTTGGCTTGATATATTTTCAGCTTGTGTTACTTACTATTCAGCATGATTGACGACATGTCAGAACAGTGATCAAACTTATCTTAGCACTTAAGTTTCGAAAGTCAAGGGTTATCYATAAAGAAAATTATATACGAGTTGCGGTAGAGCAGTTTTCGTATGACTGTGAAAAAATCGCCAAGATTCTTACACTTTCAGATCAATCACATTGCGCAAGAAAAAAATCGCCAATCAAAATTCAAAAAAAATCGCGGTTACGGCAAGGCACGCTTACCCGGCAGTCATACGAAAACTGATGTATGTCTTGTGTTACTCATGACTTGGTTGATGTTTCATGTTCACAGGAAAGTGGAGAACCCCCAGCGAAAGTAACTCCACGAGGTGAGTAAAAAGATTGATAAGTTAGTCCTTAGGGGRAGGAGAGGGGCGTACCTAATGGGAGGGGGCACGGATGTGTTTGGTATTTGGAGAGTGGGGTTCTACAGTGTAACCTTAGAGCATTCAGTAATAAGAGTGTAATGATTTTCGGGGGGGGAATGGGGTTGAAAATTTGTATACACGCTCACATAGGGGGGGGGGTGATTTAAGAAAATGAAGGTCGGTATTGTAGCGGTAGTTTTCTTGCCACTCCATAACTTGTTAAATAGTTATTTGTCAGGTCGCTCCCTTGGTTTGAGGGTTTTTGCTGCAGCCGGTTCTCTAGTTTTCCTCCAGACTTTGGTCATCCCAGAGGTTGTCTTAGGGTTGGATGAAAAAGACTGACGGATTTTCCCGAGTACACACCGAATCGAATTATGGCGACCAATTTGAATAACTACTGTTTTGCCCTGACTAGCGACTGACTAGCCTCTCATACATGCGAAAACGCTTTTATGTTTCCACGTGAACACGAGGCTAGTCAGTCGTTGGTCAGTGCAGAACAATAGTTATTCAAATTGGTCGCCATATTTCGATTCAGTGTGTAAACCTGAACCAAGGCGGCGTTTTTCAAAAGTCCCATAAAGGCTTCATGACATTGCTGAGTTTCCCCAAGGGCTCTAAGGATTAACCTTAATGTGTGGACTATCCAAACAGTCATTAAGCTATATTGATAGGAGATTACAGTGTTCAAATCAACAACTGACATCGATTAAGCTGAATAAACATCAAGGAACAGCTCAACAGAATAGACTCTCACWACGCATTGTTCTGTCGGACGTGTGCTGGGAAGGGACCCAAATCAAACAACCATAACAGTCTTACACAAATAAAAAAAGATCTGCACGCATATACACGACTCTCTGCGGAACCTCAAAGGTTTTTTCTTCCTTTCTTTGTTGTGAATTCTTTGTAGACGGGTCACGTTGCTAGACATTGTCGTCATGTTAGGAAGCTATTTCTGGCTGCTTGTCGCGCAATTTGTTGCAGAATTGTCGCAGTCGTTGTCGAAGTGGACGCGAGGTTCAACAATAAAACATTCATTTGTGACGACGCTTTCACGGGTCCAATTGCTCTTTATAATTGCAAAAAGAAATTCCAACGAAAGATCTGATACACACACTCTCCGTCTGTAAAAGGAAATTCTCAACGACTTCTATTATTATGAACGAGCCGGATTGCATTAAAAATTCGTTTTTGTGTTGGCTTGGGCCTGAAGGTCGCGTAGCGCCTTTGGGTCTCCCGGATTGTCACGCAAACAATTTGGAAATGAGCATGTGGGGGGTGGGATTGTGATGGCAGTACGTATGCAGGGGGAGGGGGGTGAGGATAACTGACTGATGCCAAACGTTTTTTTTTTATTCCACAGCCTCAACGGTGTTCAACGTCAGAGATATTCTAAATGCTAACGACGCTACTCCAAACCACTTGGAAAAAGACGGAGAACGACCTCCCGTWTCGAAGCCTTCGGATTGGCCAAGGTAAGATATTTTACTTAACTCTTTTATAATGGTACTAACTGTTCGACCGATCCACCTCTCGATAAACCAAAAAAAAAATTCGGCTTGGACGTTTTCTACTCTCGTAGATTCTGTCAGTTAATTYCATCATTTCTACATTTTATCTTCTGTCCTCAGCTCTGCGGCTGCAGGAATCCAGAAACCAAGCTCTCAAGTCTCTACGTCCAGTATACCAAGCTTAAACCGATCATTGACCTCAACGTCAACAATCAGTTCCCATTCGATGTCATCKTCATTTGGTCATTCCCACCCATCCTCGTTATTCCCTCATTTCCCGCCATTRCATTCACCGTCTGGTCCTATGCCGTACCAGCATGGTCCTGGTGAACCTTCCTTTTATTCAAGTAAGTCGACAAACCTATAGTATGCAGTCAATTCCAAAAATGTTGTCGTCGACCGGCTCAAGCCTACGCGACTGGACCAAAAGGAATATGGGTAAAAATCACTGAAGCGGTTGAATATTCGTTCTGAATATGATTATTCCCGCTAGTAATAAGATAATAATGGCGAGAAACGATCCATCAAATGCATGTCTTTGGGTTTAGGGAAAGAAAANTCCATCATTTTAAGCCTTTGGAATTTCGTCCGCCATGATGGTGTACCAACTTGGAACACCAAGATGGCCGCTCCATACATTTTAACCAAAAATTGTGTCATGTTTACTTGCCTATAGTTCCGCAACGAAATGCTTTACAGCCTTAAAATTTGGCCAGTATATGTAGTTTGGACCGCTTTGCAAGAATATAAAACTTCTATTTCATTATGATGCGAATTTACGCTTTTGAAATTCATGATGACGTAGGTGAAAACCAAGAATTCGTTCTGAATATGATTATTCCCGCTAGTAATAAGATAATAATGGCGAGAAACGATCCATCAAATGCATGTCTTTGGGTTTAGGGAAAGAAAAACAAWGAAGTTATGATTCAGCTCACAATTTYGAAAATATGAAGGCATTAAAAAAAATCTCCTTCAACACTTCGTKCTCGCCTACGAAGGTTCGTGCTGTAAACCAGGCATAACTAGTCAGATAAAATTATGGAGTCAACTCGGCTTCAATGATTGCTACCCAGAGTTCCTTTCGGTCCAGTCGCGTAGGCTTGASTTGGTCGACGACAACRTTTTTTGAATTGACTGTACCTGGATGTAAATCCTKACACACCGCCTTGTTTGTTCACATGAGAATCTTATTTTAAAATTTTATTTAAAAATAAATTTGCGAATTGCGTCGTACATTTTTGCTTGAATTCCAAACTTGAACGTCTCTGTAAGGACTCGGCTCAATAGACATGGCCAAGGAATATAAATAAAATGGTGAGCAAACGTGCGCTTCCCAGGACACAGACACAAAAAATACATGCGACCCTTGCGTCATCTGATGACGTCAGGCGATGACGAAGAGGGAAGTCCCGGATACGTAACTAAATCAGCGGGGTTCTCTGAGTTGGCGAGTTTACGGCGCAGTTCTGCGAAAGCCTAGTGAATTATTTTAGATGGGTCCTTTTTCTATCCATCGTCTAACAAAAGGATTTGACTGTGGATTTTTGTATTTGGTTTTTACTTTCGTAAGCTTTGACAATAACKGAATTCAGCAGTCAGTCTGTCGCSGAGCTGACCTGTTTTGGCTCGGCAGGATAGTGAAACAGTCTCTTTGTGGTATATTAATTTTTTCAATTCMTGGGGTGAAGGTGACGTCATAGATGCCATTTTTGGTTGACCTTCACATGATATAACTTTATTATTTATACAAGATTTACTTTTGTTGTCTTTTATCATATCAACCAACGTTGCGGCCACGTGTTTTGTTTCTTTATTCTCGTGGGAAGATGCACGCCACCAATAGGAAGAATAGCAATTTRAATCCTTCGTTTGCAC